AAGGAAAGGAGGAGGAACAGGAATAAAGGGAGAGACGCGGGAGCTGAAAAAGGAGAAGATAAACAAGGAGGAAAAAGGGAGAGGGTAGAGCAAAGGAAAAGATGAGAAGAGGAAAAATGAAGAGATAAAGAATGAGGGAAAAGGGAAAAAAGAGGAAGAATGAAGGGGAACAAGAGGACGAGGGAAGCAGAAAAGAGAGAAAGAAGTGGAAGAGGAAAGGAAGGAGGCCGGTAGCTGTAGGCAAGCGGAAGGGAGAGCGGAGGGGGAGGGAAATCCTTGCATGGTCGGCCGTGTGCTCCGGAAGTGCTCCCCAGCCGGGCCCTGACTTCCGGGGCAGTGATGTTGTGGCGGAGGCCACTGGGTGAGGAGGCCATTTTCCCTCTCTGGAAGGAAGGAGGGATTGAGCGGGCTAGCGAGCGAACGAACGAGACGGGGAGAGAAAGAGGGAAGCAGGCCCAGCGACCCCCCGGCCGAGGAGAGAGGGGCGGAGCCGGCGGGTGAGGTAGCTGCGAGCCCCGGAGAGATGTTCTCCCTGTCGAGCACGGTGCAGCCCCAGGTGAGGCCGATGGGGCCCTTTCCGCCCCCTCTGTTCGTCTCCTCCGCCTGTGCCGCGCTGCTCCGCCCGTCGGGCCGTGGGCGACGGCCGGGCTGCGGGAGCGGCGTGGGGGCAGGCCGGGGAGCGATTCCCGCCCCCCCACCCCCAAGAGACCCAGGCTCGGGAGACCGCCTTAGCCAGGCACGGGGGCGAGGCCGGGGTGACGCGAGGAGGTCGAAGTGTTCCGGCCCTGGGGGTCCGTATTCCTAGGGAAGAGAACCCCGCTTTAGAATCGGATCCGGCCTCCCCCCAATCCCCATTTGGGGACGTGTAAGAGCCCATAGTTACAAAGCGCTTTAACGTTGACCAGGATCCTTTTCGCGGGGTGGACGTAGTGCACGCATTATTGTTCCCATTTTACAGGTGACGCTGATGTTAGATGAGGCCAGGGTCCGAGACCCGGCAGTTGGGAGAACCGGACTTTCTAACCCAGGTGTCGGGAATTAATCAATATGCGGTTTGGCAGAAAATGTTTGCCCCACCTGTGTGGGATTCTTTTACAAACTTCCGGATCAGAAATTGGTCTAATTTGACATCAGGAACCTTTAAAACAGGAGTTCTTAACCTGTGGTCCAGGAACTTGTTTTAAACATTATTTTGACAGCTGTTTAATACATTTGGTTTCCTTTGTAAGCCTGTGTATTTTATTTTATGTATTTGAAAACTTTCTGAGAAGGGTTATTTAGACTTCGCCAGAATGCCAAAGGGGTTCACAACACAAAAAAATTAAGAACCTCTGTTTTAAGGTATTTAGTAACGCTTTCTTGAAATTCTTGAATGCCTTTTTCGCCTCTTTCCCTTCAAATTTTGAGATATCAATTTTGATGTATTTTTAGGCATTGCCATTTTTTTGGCTTAGAGGACTGAGTAGTTTCACGGTTTTATAAACGTTGACTTACTGCAGACCTTGGAAGACTACACAGAACTTTTAGTTTTGTATTCATTCAAGGCCTGGAAAGAGAGGAAACATCCAGTCTCTGTTAAGGAAAGCAAATTTTGGCTAAAAAAAAGGAATGAAACCTTTTGACAGCTCATTATTAGAGGGAGTAAATCATTAGATATTTTGATTTTCTGCTCTTAAGGTTGTACGAAAATTAAAGTATTTTTAGAGGTCATATGTTAGGAAGCTAATATAAATATGCCCCTGCATATTTTTCTAATATGAAGTTTTCATATAGTTTATAAAATTAGGGAAGAAAAAACTTAAGTATTTTAATAGGCAAGACAACTAATTTCACCTTTCTTAAAGTGTTAAAATACTGTCGTTTATGAAGGCGAGTTTGGTTATATAAGTGAATTTTAAAAATTATCTGATCCTTATTAAAATGTAAGATTACTTCTATGTGAAACTTTCCTTCCAATAAAAAAATAAATCTTTAATTTGATTCAGGTTACTGTTCCTTTGAGTCATCTCATCAATGCCTTCCATTCACCAAAAAGCTCATCTGTTTCTCTGAGTGCATCAGTTTCTCAGAGTCAACATCGAGAAGCAGCCCCTGAACATGAAGCACCAAGCAGTGAGGTATTTTCAGTTTTACATGTGTAAATGTGCCTTTTAGAATGGGGTTTCTTTTTATACCTGATTGAACTCTTTAAATAAATCTAATTTTGAATTTGCCTTTCAGACCGTCAGCCTATAACTTAATCTGTATTAAAAATAGAAATATCTTATTTTAGCTTTATACTGAACATAGACTTTTGTATTTCTTTTAGTAATTATTAAAAGTTTTTTCTTTTATAATATTCTAGGAAATTGATGTTGCTATCTAGGCAATATGAGTCATTGACTAGAAATTATAGTTTGTTCCATCTGGATCTTTATTACTTTGATACCATTATTAATGGGATGCACAAAGAAACCATGTCTTCATTCTTACCCAGAAAGACAAGAAGAGCTGAGATTGGATGAGAGAATTTGTTTTTAAGTAAAAAGTGCAAGGCAAAGAAATAATGCTGAAATTTATGTTTTAGTTCTTAGACTTGTTTTAAAAAGGGAAAACAGAATAAAATTGATCAGTTTTTTGAAATGGTGAATGTTTTTGTAATGTGATCCAGACTTGTGATTTCATCTCTGAGAATTCTCTTTGAGGAAACTCTTATAAGCATTTTTAAAGCACATACTGTACTCTAGGTACTGTGCTAAGCAGTGGGGATTCAAAAAGAACAAAAATAGTTCCTGACCTCAAGGAGCTTACATTCTGATGGGAAAGACAACATGTTCATAAATAGGATATACAACATGCATACAAGGTAGATTCTAGGTAACCTTATTTTCATCTTGTAGTTTTCCCTATGGTATTGAGAGGTTTAACTGTTTTGCCCCAGGTCATACAGTGAAAATACATCAGGAGTTGGACTTAACCCAGGTTATCCTGATTCCAAGGTTGGCCCTCTGTCTTAGTACTAATGTTATTAAAATAATGCATAATGTTTGAATAGTAAAGCAACTTAAAAGTCTCAGTGATAAGAGACAAAGTTTTATTTCTTTGAAACTTTGTAATTTATTACTGTCTAGTCTTTAAACAGTCAAACCTGTTGAGTATATTCTAGCGTTCAGGCCTGCTGTAGCCAACATTTTTGTAGGATGGAGTATTAATAGATCTTAAATATGCCATTATTATATTTCCATTGCTTCTCTTCCTTAGTTAAGAATAGATGACCATCATATAGAATTATATATGGTAGAGTGGGAGTGATTTGTTGTTTTAATTTGTGGGTTATAAAATTAATCCCTTTTTATCATTGCTTCAAAACATCATTCCTTTTTACTTAATGATATCGTTCAGTTGTATGGCATAAATGGTTTCAAAGCACTATTATGTAAATTATTTCATTTGCTTCCATAACACTGTGAATTAACTGGAGCAGGTGGGTTAAATTCTCATTTTACCTATAAAGAAAGTATGTCAGGGAGGTTAAGTTTAAGTGCCTTGTCCGAGTTTACACAGGTAGTAAATGATACAGCCTTCTGACTTCTAGTTCATTGCTCTTTCTACTGTTATACCTCTTTTCTGTTGTTGTAGTCATCATAAGAAATTGATATTGTTTGGGTTGGCATAGGGTAATTATATAGAATGCAGTTATTACTTTATCATTTATGTATCCCAGATAATAACCATCAACTTGCCATTTAGCTAATGAGGTCAAGGAAATAGATCTTCCCTATAAACCTGCAATTTTCTATTTCCAGCTAGTCCCCCCCCCAGCAACCAATTTCCTTTTGTGCGTTGTCTCCCTTATTTGAATGTAAACTCTTTGAGAACCGGGGACTGTCTTTGCTTTTTAGCACTTGTTAGCAGAGTGCTTGGCTTAATAAATGCTTTTTCATTCATTTCATTCCAAATAATGCTAATAAGGTCCATGAAGGCAAAAATCTAAGGTTGTGGTCTACCATCTAAAGATAAACACAAAAGTAGTTAAAATTTCTCATCTGCAATGCCTTCTTGTACTAATTCAAGATCTCTCCTTTTCTGGAAATAATTGTTGTTAATATGAGATTCCCTCACCAGGGTCTCAGCAGTGGCATGGGAAAGTAAGGTGTCTGGTGGTAGCTTAGCAGGAGGAAAGGGAATAAACATTTTTATACCTCCTACCCTGTGCAAGGCACTGTGATTAGCACTTTACAAATACATCCTTAAAACACACTTTCTAGATAGGTACTATTATCATCCCCATTTTACAGTTGAGGAAATTGAGACCAACAGAGGTTAAATGACTTGCTCAGGGTCACACAGTTACTGAGTTTCTGAGGTTGGATTTTAACTTAGGTCCTACTGACTGCAGGCTTGATGCTGTATCCATTGGACCATCTAGCTCTTTCTACCTAGCAATAATACCTTCCTCTGTTGAATGTATTTTTTTTTTTCAATCTGCCCACCGTGGCAAAAGTGTCTTTTTTGTTATTGCTGTTCAGTCATTTCAATCTTGTCTGACATTTTGTGACCGTATTTAGGGTTTTCTTGGCAAAGATAGTGGAATGGTTTGCCATTTCCTTCTGCTCATTTTATAGATGAGAAAACTGAGGCAGAGTTAAAGGCCAGGGTCACCCAGCTAGTAAGTGTCTGAGACCACATTTGAACTCAGGTCTTCCTCACTTCAGGCCTGGAACTCTGCCTCTTAGTTGTCCTTTTTAAAGCTGTGTTACAGATGGAGACATAAAAAGTAGCACAGAGAAAACTGAAAATATGATTTCCCAGGACCAAGCAATCTTAGAGCCATGCCCAGACCTTTTTTAAGTTTTGATGATGACTGCCTTACCTTGTAGATACTGCTTACTTACCTCAGCAAATGGATCCCCTCACATGATTCTTTTTCATGTACATGGCAAGTAGATGACTATTTTCAAACCTAGCTTATCAAGGTAGTTTATGTGTAGACTAGAAGAAGCGAAGAATTTCTTTTTATTAATAATAGTTCTTTGCTTTAACAGTTACCACTTAGAAGCTATTTCTAACAGCGTTCAAATGGCAGTTTCTCTACATTCTTGCTCTTATATAGAAAGTCAGATAATGATGTGATTTTTTTTATTGTTTTGGTGTTTATGTGCTGCACTACATAATTTATTAGCCTTTCCTTTCATAATTCCCAAAATCGTTTTAAGTTTAATTTTAGTAGTGATACTGCTGCAAGGTAACCTAATGTAGTAAATGGAGCTAGCCTTGGATTACAAAGCAGGTGCTGATTTGCTTTGGTGGAAAGAATTTTTTTCACTAAACCAGTGAAGTCACATGAGTGGTCTAAACCTCAAAGTTGCTAGTACTTTTAAATATTACTCTCAAGGTTTTAGAAACAAGTGACATGATCAGTGTATGTGACTGACCTTAGTAAAACCAAGATCACAAAAAATATTTCCCTTTAGAAAACAGAAGGAAATTAAACTTTGACTTGGTTTGTAAAAAATATAGGTCGACAAATTGACTATATGTTCAGATTTAGGATTTTAGAAAATTTGCCTTGTTCCTTCTGGTAAAAAATACTTTTTGTTGTAAAGATCCCATGACAATAAGTTTTTGTCTTGTTGCCTTGCAGCCTGTGCTTAACTTAAAGGACTTGGGGTTATCTGAATTGAAAGTCAGGCAGCTTGATGAACTAGTGGATAGTCTCCTTCCTGGCTTTTGTACCGGCAGCAGAGTTTCTTCTCGATGGCATACATCTTACGTTTCTGCACAGTCCTTCTTTGAAAATAAACATGGTATGTGAAATTATTAACTTATTTTATTTTTCTAATGAAAATGAAAGCCAAATTAATAATGAGTATCTATAATTTAATAGTGGATATATATTGCCTGTGCCCTGAAAAGAGTATCAGTTGCTGGGTTTTTATTCCAGTAACTTTGTAGAGTTATCTAAAACAAGTAATGTAGCAGGGAATCAGATGAGAAACCTGCAATGATTTTGTTTGGCTGAGAAGCAGAGAAGAGGAAAAAGGGTTTTTTTTTTCTTTTTTTTTTTTGGTGGAAGGAAGCTACAGGGGTTCAGCCTGCAAAGAACTTGAGAGTAGGTAGGAAGAATTTTAGGAAGGATGTTGAGAATTGAAGTAGCATACTATTTTTTTTCTCTCCTTATCCCCCTTATTCAGTTGAATGCTTGTGAAATAACAGTAAGACATTTACAAAGTTCTTTGACATTTTCAGAGTGTTTTATGCCCATTATTTGATAAGTGAATATATTTTTTTTTGTTTTTTTGGTGAGGTAATTGGGATTAAGTGACTTGCCCAGAGTCACACAGCTAGTGTTTTGTGTCCGAGGCTGGATTTGAACTCAGGTCCTCCTGACTCCAGGGCCAGTGTTCTATCCACTGCACCACCTAGCTGCCCCCAGAAAATATTTTTTTGAGCATCTTAATTTGAGGTACTAGCTTAATTGGAAGTCATGTATCAGTTAAAATGCTCTTTTGAATTGTTAACAAATCAGAAGAACGATGAAAGATGTTGAGATCCCAAGTAATTGGGTTGTTTTTAGAAATTCTTTGAATTATATTAAAGAAGGAAAGTTGCCTCTTAAAATGTAGTCAATTTGATCTTAATAGTTTTAAAGATAGTGTATTCTCATTAGACTTTTTATTGGGTGTACTTCAGTGATTTTTCATGTGAAATGTTTTGTTTGACAGAAAATGTTTTCTTTCTACAATTTTATCCCTAGGTTTCCTAGACATTTTTAGTACCTTACGTTCCTCTTGCTTGTACAGACAACATCCTAAGACCGTTCAAAGTATCTATGCAGATCTTCAGCGGTCGCCAGGTATGAAACAAAAAACTCTATTGCATGAGTAAATTAATTTTAAGTAGTATCCTGATTTTCTCTTTTTAGTAATAGCTAACATTTATATAGTGCTTTAAGGTTTATGAAACATTTTACAAATAATCTCATTTTATCTTCAGAAAAACCCTGGGAGGTAGCTGCTGTTATTATCTCCATTTTACCAATCAAGAAACTAAGGCAAGTTAAGTGTCTTGCCACTAGTTTGTATCTAAGGTAGTATCTGAACTTAATTCTGGCACCAAACCCTGTATTGTATCTACTGCAACACTTACCTGCTTAGTACTTTAAAGATTTTAAAAACAAATGTGTGAGCAATTCTCAGGATTTAAAAAAAAATATTTTTGATAAATTTTACTATTTGTATTTTCTAATCTGTATAACAGACTGAATTTTAAGAGTAAATGACAAGTGCCAAGATGAATGAAACTCTTAATTGTATTGATTCCATTTTGTCAGCCTTTCATTCATTGATTTATTCCATTTTATATAAAATATCTACTGTTTCTCAAACTGGAAATCCCATAATTTGGACAGAGACTGTCTTTGTATTCCCAGCTCTCATCATATTTCCTGGCATATAATAGTCACTTCATAAATGTTTGTTGATTGATTGAGTAGGCTGTGTGAAATTAATGATAGGAAGCTTTAAACCAGTTATTTGGTGTTATCATATGATACTTTATTTTTTAAAAGTTTTATTGATGTCCCTTTTTATACCACCTTTGTTTCCCAGCGTACTCTCCTTTATAATAAAGTAACACAGTTAAGCTTAACTGACAAAATGACTCTTAGCTGACAAAAGCAGATGCAACATTTTGTTCCTATGTCATCCCAATTGTCTTCTAAGAGGAGGGAAGTATTTCATCACCTGTTTTTTTTGGACCAAGATTGATTATTCATATTAATCAGATTTCAATTGGCTTTTAGTGCTGTTTTTATTTACATTATTTGAACAGATGATTGCTTATCCCAGCCTTCCCATAAATCACTGTTTTGGTTAAATATCATGATACCTTATTTCTCATTCTTGTATATTGATGGAGAAAACTAAAAGAGTTGAATTGATTTTTTACTTACAACAAATTAATGATATCTACATGCATAATTGTTGCTTCTCATCAATTCTCTTATTCTCTTTTTATTGACTACTTGTCTGCCCATAGTACCAATCAAAACTTTTTTCTTTATTGGCAACTAACCCTGTTTTAACATTTATAGTAAATGACGCAGCTATCTAGTTCAATGAGAAGATTGAGATCATCTGGCATGAGCTTTCTTAGCTTCCCTCTTCCATTAAAAAATATTTTTTTGGTATTGATATATTTTGTTTTTCACATAATCCAGTTTCTCTTAGAATCTCTTCCTCCCCCTTCCCTGGGGAGTCATCTCATGTGACGAACAATATTTTTAAAAGAAGGAACAAAAAAGAAAGGAAGAAGAGAACAAAACCTAGTAAAAGCAATCATTATATTTAAATTTTAAAATGTTACTTTGGACTACACCTGTGGAACTCTTACTTCTTCAAAGGAGTTGGGATAGGAATGTTTTCTCCTATCTTTGGGGCAATTCTTACTCTTTGTAATTTTACAACACTCACTTTTTATTGTTTTATCATTTTTTTTCCTTTTACAATGTTTTCATTGTATGTGTTATCTTTTTGTCTCTCCTCCATTTCTTCAACTTTCTCAGCGTCATCTTATCTTCATCCCTCTAATGATAGAAAAAAGAGATCCCTACAACTAAGACTAATCTTTCTACCTTGGCCTTTGATCCTTTTCTTTGTCACTTTCTTTAGGCCTTTGCTCTGGCACTCTTCCTCTCTCATGTATCTTTATTCTTCTTAACTGATTCCTTCCGTCTTTTGACAAACATGCTTAAATCTCTTGAATCCTTAAAAAAAAAAAGCCTTGATTTTTCTAGTTTATCTAGCTATAATGTCTTTTCTCTTCCCCTTTACCTCCTAACTTATTGGGAAAAAAATCTAAACTGCTGCTTTTATTTCCTTATAACCACTTTTTGGGGAAAATAGTAGCTGAGAGCCACTTGCAATTGGGTTGTCATCCCTGCTTTTCTACTGAAACTATTTTCTCAAAATTCACCATTGATTTTATTTTTCCTTTTAAAAATAATCATTTTTGTTTATTATATTTTTAACCAAAAACGTTCAAAATGACTAGGCAATTGCAGTCTTCTTTCTTTCTTTTTATTTTTTTGGCAGCTTTCCCCCCATCTTTCATACTACCTTCTTTTAAAAAATATATAATCAATTTGCCGTGTTACTTTCAAAATTGTCCTACTAGTCTAGGCTTCTTTTTGTTGTTTTCTATGTACTTTAAAAATGTTTCAGTGGCCCTCTTTTTGTGTGTATCATTGTTATCCCCTCCATTAAAAATTGAGGAAGATCCCTTGTAATAAACAAGCAAACAAAATCCACATATTTGCCATGTACCAAAATTTATGTTTCTTTTTGCACCTTAAATCTGTCACCTCTGTCATGAGGTTGGTAACATGCTCCATCACAGGTTCTCTGGAGAGAGAGGGTGGGGAGAGACTCGAAGCAGGAACATTGATTAGAAAGCTTTTGCATTATTCCAGGCAAGAAGAGATGAGGGTCTGAACTAGGGTAGTAGCTGTGTGATTAGAGAGAAAGATATAAATAAGATATGTGAAGGAATAAATTACAAGATGTGGCTTCAGATTGGATATGTGGGGTGAGCATGAGAGAGGAGTTGAGTATGGCAGCTAGGTTGACTGCGAGAATAGAAGTGCTCTTGAGCTTGTAGTTCAAAGGGGAGAGAGTTGGGGAGAAAGAAAGTAAGTTCTTTTTTAAGACATGTTGAGTTTGGGATGCCTATGGGACATCCAGTTGGAAATGTCCAAAAGGCAGTTGATGATGCAGGTTTAGAGCTCTGGAGAGAATATATTGTGTATTCTACTATATGGTATAGACTAGGGCTGGTTATGGTGGCTCAATGAACAGAATGTTGGGCCTGGAGTCAGGAAGCCCTGAGTTCAAATCCAGCCTCAGACAAGAACTTATTGGCCTTGGAAACTATGGCAAGTCACTTAACCATTGTTGACCTTAATTCACTGGAGAAGGAAATGGTAAACCACTGTAGTATCTTTGCCAAGGAAACCCCACTGACAGTATGGGTGTGGTATCCACAGGATCTTGAAGAGTCGGACGTGACTGAACGACTGAACAGGACTAGTTATACAGTGTGTTTCAAAAGTCTTAGTGCAATTTTAAGCTATTAAGGCTCAAAATTGCATTCAGATTTTTGGCTTATCTTGTATAGCTGAGAATCATCTACCTAGAAATGATCATTGAACCCATGAGAACTGATGAGATCACCAAATAAGATAGTATAAAGGGGTGGTTAGGTTCGAGATCTAGATACTTGTGGGGAAAATCCTATAATACTGTTAGTATTTGGTTAACATTTAGAAGATTCTTTCTCCCAGCCTTCAAATGACAGCTTGTCTGTACATTTTTGTTTTATATAGAAATACTCAAATAATAGTGTCATATTTTTATTTTATTGTTTTGCTGTTTACATGCTGTGCTGCATAATTTATGAACTTTTTTCGTAGTTCCCAAAATCTTTTAATTTTCGTAATGATATTACCATGAGGCAGGCTGGCAAATAAATCATCTTTACAATGGGAATTTAATTATAAGAAATCCATGTTGGAGAGTGAATTAAATGTCAAAGTTCTTTTATTTTTTTGGGGAGATAAAGGCAATAAGAAAATACAAAGTGTATGGTATTGGGTAGTAGTAAAATGCTTAAAAAAGATAGAGGATAAATAGATTGTACTTGTGGGTTTTCCTTATTTTTATTTTTTTCTGTGCATTCTGTTTTAGTAAAATGGGAAGAAACGTAATAAATATTCTTTGTTCAGTTTTTGTACAGTCTCGGGGTTTTAAGACTTTGAAATCAAGGACACGGCGTTTGCAGTCCACCTCTGAACGATTCACAGAAACACAACATGTGGCCCCATCATTTGTAAAGGTACTTAGTTTATCTTAATATAAGAATGCAGAAAGCAGTGTTTTTTTTAATGAAAACAAGCACATTTAGTATCTTTTATTTGTTGATTGGCCTTTAATTTTGTATTTCTTTTTTTTCAGCATACAGATTTAGAATAATTGTAGTTTATTAGATTTTTTTAGCTAATCAATGTTTGTAGCTGAATTTTAAATTTATCTTTTGTTCAGAAATGTTTTTTAGCTCTTTGTCTTTGTGCTAAAATAACCAGTAATAAAGCCTGCTAAAATTTTAAGTAAATTCTTCCCTGCTTATAACATGATTTATTTAGATCGTAGACTTATGGTAATGTAGATGAAAACTATAATGGTAATATTGGAGATCAGTTGCAGTGATAGCAGTATGTGTTGGGAATATTGACACCAGGAGTAGGAGAAGCAGATATACCATACTTCAAGTAAGTGCAGGTATCTAGGTAATTCTTTCCAGGGTAGGAGTCTTATAAATAGTGATTCTGCTACTTTCTAGTTATTAATTACCTAATATTTCCATAATTGATCTAGAGCATAGATCAGTTAATTGGTTTGTCTGGGTTGATACAGTAAACTTATGGTAAAATTCAGAATCAACATTCTGAATTCCTGGATCAGCATTCTGTTATTTATCCTTTGGAAAAGGATTGGACCTTTGATTTCATTGGTATAGAGAATTCCCTGGTGAGGAAACTCTACCAATGTAGGTTAGCACCTTCTGTGCAATTTCAAGTCTTAGAGGAATACCAGGAACACTGAGGAGTCATGTGATTTGTTTAGGGTCACACAGCAATATGTGTAAGAAGTGGCACTTCTCTGTGGCTTTGAGACCAGTTCTTTATCCACTGGGCCATCATGCCAATTTGAAATGATGGGAAATAGAACTAAAACTGGAGTAAGTAGATCTGAAAAATCCCATTGAGTTAGTTCTGTAGCCCTGTATTTGGTTTGTAAATATTGTCGTCTGTGCACTTGACAAATGCCATTAAATTTGTGTCTTTAGGGGTTTCTTTTGCGGGACCGAGGATCAGATGTTGAAAGTTTAGACAAACTCATGAAAACCAAAAACATACCTGAAGCACATCAGGATGCATTTAAAACTGGCTTTGCAGAGGGCTTTCTGAAAGCACAAGCATTAACTCAAAAAACAAATGGTAAGTTGATTTCATTGGTTTTTAGTGCTTGTGAATCCACTGCTAAATCCAGTGGTAATAATCAACTGCTAATCTTTTATCCTTCCATCCTATTTTCTCTTGCTGCTTTTCCCAGCTTTGGGAGAAGAACAGTGGAGTCACCCCCTCCCCTCCAAATTGGTTGGTTTCTTTTAAACTTTATTTGGGCTAATTAGAGGCAAGAGGAAAAGCATTAGTGAGCTTTGATACTAATAGTCTTGTGAGATAGCTTTTAGCTATATTATTTAAGGATTTGGGTTAAAGAGCAAAGGAATTTCAGAGTTCCCACAAAATGATGTATTCAACCACTACAATATGGTGTAGTGGAAAGAGTACCAACTCAGGACTCAGAAGACTTCGGTTCAGGTCTTCCCTCTGATGTCTGTTATTTTTGTAATCTTGAGCAAGGCATTTAACTTCCCTTAGCCTCAGTTTTCTCATCTGCAAAATGAAGTATTTGGATTAGATGAATTCATTCATCCTTTACAAGTTTACGTCCATGATCTTAATTGTGTTTTTGAGTGCCAGAGATTGCTTATATTATATATTTGAGGGAGATCCTGCTGTTGACATATCTTGTTTTAAGGAAGCCTTTTGTTTTTTTTCAGATTCCTTAAGAAGAACACGTTTGTTCCTCCTTGTTCTCCTGCTGCTTGGTATTTATGGACTATTAAAAAACCCATTTTTATCTGGTAAAGGCTCTTTTTCTAATACTGGTTTGTTAGCTTTTCATTCCTTTAAATTTGTACTTTCTTGCTTTCTGTTTTCATAGAAATATTACATCATCTAGGAAGTACAATCTTACCAGCTCATCTAAAACTAAGAAAATATCAATTGTTCAGATACTGTCAACTATATCCATTAGGTTTTATTATTTTGGAATTATCTGAAAATGCTTCTGGTAGAATTAGAATAGGGGTATGTATTCAGTCAGTCAGTTTTTGTTAAATGCCTACTGTGTGCAAGGTACTGTGCTATACGCTGGCGATACAAAGAAAGGCAAAAAACGTCCCTGCTCTCGAGGAACTCACAGTCTAATCAGGAAGACAGCATGCAAATAATTGTACAAACAAGATCCTGTAAAAACTGGATAAATTGGAGGTAACCATTAGAAGGAAAGCATTAGCATTGAGCAGTTTTGGAAAAAGCTTCCTACTGTAGAACCTGAGATTTTAGCCAGGACTTGAAGGAGACCAGGGAAGCCAGGAGGTAGAGAAGAGGAGGAGAAAATTACAGGCCTGAGGAAGGTCAATGAAAACACTTGTAGTCAGGGGAGGGAGTATCTTAGCGTGAGGAACAGCATGGAAGCTGCTCTTATTGGATTGCAGAGTATATGGAGGTAAGTTAGGTGTAAGAAGACTGGAGAGAGGGGAGGGAGACAGGTTATGTAGAGCTTTAAAAGCCACATAATGGAGTTTACGTGGAGGTAATAGGGAACCACTAGAGTTCATTGAAGAGAGAGGTGACGTGTTCAGACGTTCACTTTAGCAAGGTCAGTTTGAAAACTGAAGACAGAATAGACTGGACTAGGGAGAGACGAGATAGGGAGACCCAACTACAAGGTTGTTGTTAATGACCAGGTGTGAAGGCCTCCACGTGGGTAGTGGCAGTGTCCAGAGGAGAGAAGGGAGAGTGTACAAGAGATTTTATGAAAGTAATATGGACAGGACTTGGCAACAGATTGTATGTCGGGGAGGAAGGTAAGAGATTGAGGTATTAAGGGTGATGCCTGAGTAACTGTGAAGATGGTGGTGCCCTCAACAGTAATCGCTTAGAAGGGGGGAAGTTTTTTGAGGGGCTAGAGTATTGTTCAAAGTTCATTTTCAGCCATGTTGAGTTTAAGATGTTTGTGGGACAGAGATGTCTAATAATCAGTTGGAGATGCAAGACTGAAGGTCAGGAGAGAGTTTAGGGTATAGAGATGGTAATTAAATCTATGAGAAATGATGAGTTCACCAAGGGAAATAGTGTAGAGGAAGAAGAAAAAAGGGCCCAAGACATAGTCCTGGGGGACATCCATAGTTAGTGAGTATGACCTGGATGAAGATCCAGCAAAGGAGACTGAGAAGTAGGAGTCAAGCAGGTAGGAGGAGAGCCAGTGTAGAGTAATATTATAGAAACGAGAGAGATGTGAATATCAAGAGGAAGAAGGCAATCAGTAGTGTCAAACAGAGAAATCAAGAAAAAGCCAGTGAAGAGAACATTGTTAACACAGGACAGCAGTTTCACTTGAATGATCAAGCCAGGCTGTAGCGAATTAAGGAGAGAGAAAGAGGAGGGGAAATGGAGACGTTTTATTATAGATAGCCTTCTCAAGGAGATTAGCCCCCAAAAGGAGGAGAGATAAATGGGACAATAGCTAGCAGGGATGGATGTATCAAGTGAGGGTTTTTTGAGGTTGGAGACATGGGCAGGTTGAGACAGAGGTTGAAGGTAAGAGAGAGTGGGGATGATAGAAGGAACAGTTTTCTCAAGAAGATGGCGTGGTATGTGATAATTTATTCAGGTAGTGTGATTTACCTTGTCACGAAGTGCAGGGGTAAAGGAGAGACATAGTAGGATAGTAAAAGAGAAGAGATAAAGGAAGAGATAGTAACAAAGTATCTGAGTGATTATGAAGGATAGGAGTAGAGAATAGGGAGCTTTCAAGAGAAAGGCCTCCGTTTTTTTTTTTTTCTGACAGTGACGTAAGGGGGGCAACATGGGAAGTTTGAGAGGGGGATAAAAAGATTTTTAAGGTTTCATGAATTTCTCCAGTTCGATTTGACATTCAGCAGCTCCTGAGAAGGAGCAAAGGCAGCGGATGGTGGAAGTAACCCCAGCCTGAGCCTTGGCACGGCAAGACCAGTGATAGGAGAAAGGCGGCATCAAGGGACTCCAGAGGAGAAGACAGTTTAGAGTTTACTGAGGGGTTAGGATGAGAAAGGAAGGAGAATGTTGCCTGTGCAGAGGTAATGACCTGGGAAAGAACTAAAGACTTGAGGGATTGGAGTGAGGATGAAAAATAGGGTTAAGGATTGCGCAGGGCAGAGGGAGAGGTGAAGTGATAATAGATTATTGTTAGGTAAGGGAATTTCAGAATTCACATTTGCCACATCAGAGGGTTTCTATATTTATATTACTTTGAGTTATGTGAATGCTTCTTTTAGATAATATATGTAATAATTTAGTTACATTTATTGTAAAAAAAAAGAAATCTAAAGAAAGTTGTAGACAGTTATGTAATAAAATATGTTAAAGCTGGTCAAAGATATGCCAGTTTAGGCAGTTGATTAACTTTCAATTGAAAGACATTTATTGAGAGTACCATATCAAAATGCCTAATACAGTTCATTATATACAATGATAGTCATATGGTGCTTATTTTTATAAGTTTATAGATAAGGCTGAATTTTTGTAATTCACTGCTTTTTATTGCAAAGATGAATTTTAAATTATCTAATGAAATGCAAATTCTTTAAAAACAACATTCCAACGAACAGTGTTTTCATTTTTTCTGAAAGGGCAGACATAATATGACACAGTGATTGCAGTAATTTTTTTCTGTCACCTCTAGTTTTTCACACTTGTTACTTTACTTTCCCAACCTGGGCTGCTATATGAAAGGAAAACTGCTATGTGCACCAAAGATGTTGCTTGAAATGAAATGTTGCATGAATCAGGATGCCATTCTGGCACTTTTAATGGCCCTAGCTCATCCTTACCCTTCTTGGTGAAATTACACTATCCTAGAATGACTTGTTCAGTGTCCTGGCGAGGTACTTTTGTATGTACGCATCCCATTCTTAGGTGAAATTCTCCTTTCTTGTTTCTCCAAACCCACCTTAAGATCCAGAAACAAAATGGTAGTATCTGAGAAAAAGTTGTCTTTGTACTTTCCTTAATTTATTTCAGTCACTAGGGAAGAACAAGTAATAATATTTAAATATAATTTCTCTACATTCTTCCCCTGAAAGTAATATGCTTAGTGTTGTCTTATTTTTCTTGAGGAGTAGCTATAGTTCAGTATGATAATTAAATTGATTTTTTTTTCTATTCCATCTTGTTTATTTTATTCATCTCTTTTAAATGTGCTCAGTAGCCAGATTTTCAAAGAAGAAACTGATATTTTGAAATGGTTTTTTTTGGGGGCGGGCAGGGGAGTTGTTACCAAGAGGATTAAAAATGTGATGTGGATAACTTTATGGACTTGTTCATTTGTATGCAATTAGATTGTTAATGATAGTCCTTGCTGTTAAATGACTGTTGTAAGTGAGCTGAATAATATTTTATTTTAGGCAGTAATGTCTGACTAGGTCTAGAAAAATCCTAAATTGATCACTTTGCCAGAATATATGAAAGCCTGAGATCGTAGCCAATTCTGCGTTTATGAATCCAAAAATCACTTTAGAAAGTTGCTGAATGCATCTGAGAATTTATAAGTTTTAAAATAGTTTTAATCAGAAGTTTCCCTAAAATTGATACCTAGGAATATTTTTGCTGTCTCTCAAATTTTTTCTATCCTGACGATTTCATCACCATTTTTTTTTATCTAGTTGCAGCCATTAAGTAATCACAGGCAGCAGTATACCCATGATTTGGAGTTTGGGATGAAATAAGAATTTAAATACAAAGTTAAAAAGGTTGCTTTTTTTCAGGCCAACCCTAGTATTTTTAGGTTGTTGGCTTGTACCTTTGCAGAAAAGATTTGTCTATCATCCGTGTGTTAAGAGAAATAATGTAAGAAAATATGTTTTAAAGGGAAATTAAGCAGCCAGGAAGAAAATGTCACAAGTTATCAGTTACTTCATATATAGAGAGTAACAGAAATTAAGACTGTGATTTATTTCCAGCTCCATGACTGATTACTTCCTTGGCCATAGGCAAATCACTTAAATCTCTTAGGGTCTCAGTTTTCCCTTTTGTACAGTGAGGCTACCTACATAATAACATGTGTTTGTGTGTATATATGTATATATACACATACATATATAAAATATATGTATATAGTCCCTAAGATTCTTTCTGGCCTTAACATTTTATGATTCTGTGAAATATAACACTCTTCTTCTTTTCTTGACTGTAGTCCGATTCCGGACAACAACTGGACTTGATTCTGCAGTTGACCCTGTCCAGATGAAAAATGTGACCTTTGAACATGTTAAAGGAGTAAGTTCAGAAGTTTTATTTGCTTCTTCAAATAGTACCTGATATGCCTTTGCACAAGCTGTTCACCAGGCCTAGAGTGGTCTCCATCCTTAACTCCATCTTTTTGAAACCCCTGATTTACTTAAAAACTCAACCCAAGTGGCATTTTCTTCATGAGATCTTTCCTGGTCCCTGCAACTTGTAATCCTAAATGATTAAATGCATTTTTGTATTTTATGCGTTTTGTATTTACCTTATTATGTGCAAGTTGACTCCCTCATTAGCAAAAAAAAGTACTTGAGGGCAGGGACTTTCACTTTGTATCCCTAGCCAGAGTCTAGCACAGTATCTGGCACATAATAAATGCTTGTTGATTGATTGTATTATAAAGATGTATTTTACTTTTTTCTTTCACTTCATTTTAACTCAACAAACATTTATCTATACCTAATCTATGTAAAGCTTTTTGCTAGTTGGTGCTTCAGCTGTAGTTCTTAACTCATTGGTAGTGTATAAAGATCTAAAGATTACACTACTGTCGGATAAAGTGCAAGATATAATGCAGTATTTGCCTAGCATTTATCACTATACTTTTCCACTGAATTCTGTGAATATATACCTAATACTGTAATATACTAAAGTAGAAGAAAGAAGTTGTAGTTAGTGGATGCTTTTGCATAGCTTCATTCTTTTTCTCTTGTCCTGCTGGCTTCTTTTTCTTTGTAGTTTGAGCTGGGGATTATATAGGGAGATAACAGAGAAGTCTGGAATGGACTGGTTTATAGTAGAGAAATTGGGCTGAGATAGTGAAGCCAGGTTTGCAGCTTCATAGAGACACCTGTAGCTGCCAGGGCCTTAGACAGAGTTCTGTGTTAAGTAAGTACTATATCTTAAGCTGAACATTTACAACAGGCTTGTCTAAAGAAAAGCAAACAATGGTGACAAGCTACTTAAAATCATATTGTTTAGGCATGCTTGAAGAGACTAGAGCATAAATTCTTAACTTTCCTTTGTGCTGTAGACCCTTTTGGCAAGTTGAGTAAAACATATGGACTCCTTCTTAGACTGATGCTTAATAATTCATAATGAAAGGAAATGCTAAATTTCAGTTAGATGTTAATGAAAACAAAGATGTTATTCCCCCCACCCCCCACATACACACATTTATGAGTCCTCTTGGGAATCCATGACTCCCAGATTAAAAACTTCCTGGACTAGAGAAGGGCATTTAGCTTGACCCTTTAATCTTTAAAGCATAAACAAAGATTTTTTTGTGGGGAGGGTAGCAAATAGAGGAGATTGCTATGTTACTTAACTGTTTCACTTAAGTGTTAAAAGTCTTGGGGCTGATATTTATACGCTGTGTAACCTTTTGGCAAGCCCTTTAGCTTCTCTGGGTTTCAGTTTTTCATCTATAAAATGGAGATAATAATATTTGCACTAGGCACTTAATAGTTGTTGTGAGAAAAGTATTTATAAACCTAAAAGTACTAAATATATGCAGTTGCTAACATTATTATTATTGTGGGGAACACATTTTGAGGTATGATAGTATGTAAGCCTTTTTAATCGAAATCAGAAAGAAGCCAAGTTAACCCTAACACCAGATGATTTTTTCCAATGGAAAAATGGATGCTGTAAGTTTTTCATTGCTCATGTATGTGTGTGTGTGTATATATGTATAAACATACACATATTTAATTTGTTATAGGTGGAGGAAGCTAAACAAGAATTGCAAGAAGTTGTTGAATTCTTGAAAAATCCACAAAAGTTTACCGTGCTTGGAGGTAAACTTCCAAAAGGTAAGAGATCAATCCTCCTCTAACCATGATAATTCAAGTTAAAAATGCAATATAACCTTAATTCAGACTCCAGTACCTTGGAGTTTATCCTCCATTAGGACATTAGTTGAGCAAGTTTACTTTTCATTATGAAGAGAGAATAAATCAATATAATTAATAATAGGTGGAAAGTTTTAACCAGTGCAATAGATGTGTTCTTGCTTTTTGTCTTGTTACATCAATATGAGCAGAAGTCTGGTGTATTATAAATGATATTGAACTTGGAGTCAGGAAGATGAGTTCAAATACTGTCTCAAGACTCTGTCTAGCTGTGTGAAATTGAGCAGGTTACTTAACCTCCCATTGCCTTAGTTTCCTCATATGTAAAAATGAGATTAGACTAGATGGCCTCTAAAATTTATGATTCTTTGATTTTGTGGAAAAAATCTCAAGGAATGGAGAAAACTGTTATATTCATATGCTCATTCGTCACAGAAATAATCTTAGAATATGTCACAGTCTGATGACACTGATCTTTCCTTGATAAAATCTCAAATGTTGGCATTTCTAGTATGAATTAACACCTGTCTTATGGACTTAATGTTTTCGTAAAAATGGAGGAACTTTATTTTTCCATGGACCTTAAGATAAGGCTTTGTATTAGAAGGACCTTTCTTTTTCTTTCTTTCTTTCTTTTTTTTTTTAAGGCAGTTGGGGTTAAGTGACTTGCCCAGGGTCACACAGCTAGTAAGTGTCAAGTGTTTGGTCTGAGTCCGGATTTGAACTCAGGTCCTCCTGACTCCAGGGCCGGTGCTCTATCCACTGCACCACTTAGCTGCCCCTAGAAGGACCTTTCTAAGTCTAAATCTATAATCTTAGTTTTTTTCAGTGTTCTTTAAGGCAGACTAACCACAGGCAAATCACTTTAACTTCTCTGAGGTTCAGTTTCTTTCTCTGTAAAATATTGATAGCTGTATTTACCTATCTCAGGTTGTTGTGAGGGTTTATGCTTAAGTACTTTAAAAACAGAAAAGCTTCTGTTCCTGAGTTGATCTGAAAATAACTTAAATGTGGGGAAACTAGTTATGGCAAACAATTTGAAATGCATCATTGACAAATACAAATTTTTAAGAAAATACCTAAATCAGAAAGTCTTAATCTTTATTGTTTCACAGACCCTTTTGTTATTCTGATTAAATTTATAGACTCCTTAGAATAGTGGGGTTTTTTGTTGTTGTTGTTTTTGGCAAGGCAGTTGGGGTTAAATGACTTGCCCAGGGTCACACAGCTAGTGGGTATCATGTGTTTGAGGCCAGATTTGAACTCAGGTTATCTGGACTCCAAGGCCGGAGCTCTATCCACTGCGCCACTTAACTGCCCCTAGAATAGTGGTGTTAAATGCATAAAATAAAATACATAGAATTATAAAGGAAACCAATTATGTCAAAGTACAGTTACCAAAATTTTTTTTAAAAAGGTCACAGACATCAGGTTAGGAGCCCCTGGCCTAGAGAATGATATTGAGTGTTTTTTAGTTCTAATATCTATTTTGCTTTTAGAAATTGATTTGAGAAGTTTTTTCCTTAAATTGGATAATATGAATATTTTCTTTTTTAGGTATTCTTTTAGTTGGACCCCCAGGGACAGGGAAGACACTTCTTGCTCGAGCTGTGGCTGGAGAAGCTGATGTTCCTTTTTATTATGCTTCTGGATCAGAATTTGATGAGATGTTCGTGGGTGTGGGAGCCAGCCGTATCAGAAATCTTTTCAGTATGTTATAATAATATACGTATTAGAAAATGCTAGGATTACAATTTGAGGAGCATAGGGAGAAACTTGTTCACAAGGATTTCCACTTTAAAAGCAAGGACTTAGCCAATTCCCTTTCTGCCTGAGCTGATTAGTCATGAATGACAGTGGGTTGGGATCACTATAACTTGTACAGAGACTTGCTTTAGGGAATTTGGTGTGGTGAGTTAAAGTAGAGTTGCAGCCTTCCACAAAACCAGTGTAGCCCTAGGAGTTAGCATGATGGTGCTGGGATGGGTTGGAGTGTAGTACAGTCAGGGGTAAATTAGGTTATGGGCTGCCAGAGAAGACTGAGGTTTTCCCCCCACATTTTAATTCATTGATATAACAATATGTAAGTAAGGAATGCTGGCTGCAACTCTTATGGTATATAACTTTCATAGCTGAATATTTTCATGTTTGCTAATTTTGTATTAGTATGTTATCTTCTTTGACTTGTTTAAATGTTACTGAAATGGTTGTTAAGTTTTAAGTGAGTTTTGTAGATGTCATGTTTTATTTTTTTTTCACAATGAAAATTTCTTTTTGTATTCAAATATATTGTAGATCCTTGACAGTTATATATTTTAGTGGCAAATTTTGTTGTTGTTCAGTCATTTTTCAGTCACGTCCGACTCTTCATGATCCCATTTGGGGTTTTCTTGGCAAAGATACTAGAGTGGTTTGCCATTTCCTTCTCCAGCTCATTTCACAGATGAGGAAAACTGGGGCAAACAAGAGTTAAATCGACTTGCCCAGGGTCACATAGCTAGTAAGTGTCTGAGGTTGAATTTGAACTCAGATCCTCCTGACTCCAGGTCCAGCGCTCTATCCACTGTGCTACTTAGCTGCCCCTACTTGCCCATTTGTAGCAAATGTATACCTTTTATTTAAATCTGTTTGGATCCGTTTTCTAATTTATTAGGGGAAGCAAAAGCAAATGCACCTTGTGTTATATTTATTGATGAATTGGATTCTGTTGGTGGAAAGAGGATTGAGTCTCCAATGCATCCATATTCAAGACAAACCATAAATCAACTTCTTGCTGAAATGGATGGGTAATTAAAAGTTGTTTTCTTTGTCTTTACATTCTATTAATATTTGAACAGGTTATCCCCTTTTATAAGTTTTTAAGAACTTCTTAAGAATTTTCTTAAGAGCTCTTAAGAAATTTGAGTTGATAAACTTAAATTTGAAAAACAGATTTAGCTACACTTCATATTTATATCTGTTATTTGATAATTATTCTCTTCTGAAGGTGAACAATAGGAACTCTTTAAAGTGCCTATTGACCTAATGATGTGTTGTTTTGTTTGTAACATTACTAATCTGTGAGTTGCCACTTTTTAAGAGTTAGCCGTGTTTTTCTGGCTAGTTAGCTCTCACATTTGGTTTTAATTAAGTAGTATTTAAGATAGGAGATAAGCAGCTTCTACATTAGAATTTTTGTGTTTTATTGAAAATATCAATGAAATATGTCTCTTTTGTCATTGCTGTTGCTTTTTTTTTTTTTAATAGTTTTAAACCTAACGAAGGAGTTATCATCATAGGAGCAACAAACTTCCCTGAAGCATTGGATAAGTATGTATAAAATTAGTTTTTCATGAAAACTTTTTAGAAATCTTTATATTTGCTTTGAGGAGATTTCTTAATTTAAAAAAAATTGCACTAAAATTTCCTGGTTTGTTAAAAATTGACTTATGTCTGGGGAATCACAGACAGATAAAGCCTTTCATTTGAAGTTGATATAGTATGTATGTGTCAATTCACTAGTAACTCTTGTCCCAGGCTCTTTTTTGAAAGTGAGAAGAGCTAAAGTTCTCATCCTGTATTAATTGTTCTCAATAAACCAACAATGATGTTGCTTATGCTATAGGCCAGGGGTTCTTAATCTGTTTCAGTGAACTTATTTTTAAAAGATATTTTGATAACTGTATTTCACTATAAGTGATTTTTTACATTTACATTTCTGTGCATTTTATTTTATGCCTTTTAATAACATTGGAAAGAGGTTTTACCAGATTTCCAAAGAGGTCCTAGATACAAAAAACAGTTTAAGAACTTGTGCCTTAAGGGGCAGCTAGGTGGCTCAGTGGATTGAGTATCAGCCTTGGAGTCAGGAGGACCTGAGCTCAAATCAGGCCTCAGACACTTAACACTTACTAGCTATGTGACCTTGGGCAAGTCACTTAACCCCGATTGCCTCACCAAAAAGAAAAAAAAGAACCCATGCCTCAGTCCTTTTCCATATTTACTTGTGTTTTTATAAATGTTGTTGGAAATGAGCCATGTCCTTATATTCAAGGTAATGGAGACTATTATTTAAATATTTCTCCAGAAACTACTTGGTTCAGTAGCCCATTTTAGTTTTGACCGCCACCCACTGTCTTCCTCATTTCCCTTGAATGAAATAAATCTGGGGAGGTCTTAAATTTCGATGTCAACTTTCAATTTATTGAATCTGGATTGTGGACTTTTTTCCCCCTCTTATTTGTTTATAGTGCTTTAATACGTCCTGGTCGCTTTGACATGCAAGTTACAGTTCCAAGGCCAGATGTAAAAGGTCGAACAGAAATTCTCAAATGGTATCTGAATAAAATAAAATTTGATCAATGTAAGTTAAAATTTCAGCTGTATATTTTTTTCTCTCTCAGCACAATAACAATAGATTGGTGAATGTTTTGAAAGACCAGGAACCCCGTCTTATCTCTGTTTTATGAATTGATTTCTAATAATTGCATGCCAGAAATCCATCTATTATTTTTTCCCATCTAAACTTTTTCCCATTTAAAATTGTGGCCTTAGTATGTCTTTAAATGCTGTTTTACTATATATGGACATATTTGGTTTTCAAAATGATTCTACCTTCTGTGATTGTAATCTCTGTAGAATCATGTCTGAAATAGCAGTGCTGGACTGACATCTTCTTCCACAGCACCATTAGTTTTGTTGTTTGATGACTGTTTTAGGTATTATTTGAAAAAGCTGTTCCTGCCTGTAACTCTTATAAATTTGTGCTTAACTGAAGGTTTAGTGCGTAAGAAGCTTCAGCTTCATCACTATTTGCAAATCAGAGGGCCAGCGAAATGTTTTGAATTTGAATATTCTGACAATATTTTTCCATACTTAATAATCACTATTCCAGGAGTAATGACACTTCTACAATTTACTTTTTCTGAACCCTTTAAGAGTTGAATATTTCAGGCTATCATGACTGCATAAACTGCTGAAAGTGAAAATGAAGCAGCAGAGCTATAGTCTAGGCAGTAGTGTAAGACCACCTGCCTTTATTTCCCTATCCAGAAAATGAAGACTATAATGATCTTTCAGGTCTACGTTAGCCCCAAGAAATTAGTTCTGTGAGTTTGTTATTCCAAGCGAACTGTTGTCTGATTTTGAGTATCAGCTATATAGCCTCTTGTACCTCTTTAATATTTTGAAGCAGAGGCAGACCATCATATGAACCTCATTGCTGCACATGGTTGGTCATCCCTGAATTCAGTTTTTAGATATCTGTGGTGATCGAGTCTTTTCTTTAAATGCTTCCTTTGATGCCTCATTGTGGTATGTAGATAACCTGTGTTGCTGAAAGTGGATTCCATTGAGTTCTCCAAGGTCCTGTCCATCTGAAAAGACTTTGGATGAGAGTCCTGGACCATTGTATTATAGCTAACCTAGCTAAATTTAGAGAGACTTATCACCACATTAAACACAAGGTGATGGATTTTTGGGCCACAGAGATTCTTGAAAACCATCTTTTTTTAGAGGATTTGCAGTCTGTATGAATGATAATAGCCACAATGATTATGGATCATTGTAGTATTGAAGAAATGGTAATACTTCTGTCTTAAGGTTCATTTGAATGACTGCATTATAAAAATAAAATCTTGTTCTGATCTTTTTACTAAATTGTGAAATCTAGGTTCCACTTTTGTCTGTTTCCTTTAGAAAGATACTTTAAATGTTTATCATGAATTAATTCTTGTATAGAATAAAGTATTTTGCCATGTAGCTTCTATTTCTACCATTTTTACCTTGATGGAACCATTCTATAGTATTTTCTCCTAGTATCCTTCAGAATTAAGTGTTAAACATCTTGAAATTTAATATTAAATCCACGCATGGCTTCCATTTTTAAGTTTTAGTGTTTATGTTCTTTTTATATAGCTGTTGATCCAGAAATAATAGCTCGTGGTACAGTTGGATTTTCTGGAGCAGAGTTAGAGAATCTTGTGAATCAAGCTGCATTAAAAGCTGCTGTTGATGGGAAAGATATGGTTACCATGAAGGAACTGGAGTTCTCCAAGGATAAAATTTTAATGGGTATGTTTCTCTTGTACTTTGACTTCCTTATTTTTCAGGTTAATTGAAATAATTCAGAGAGTAAATTGTTTTCGTACACAAAAATTCCAGTCTCACATCTTCTTTTGATTGTGTGTGCCTTTCCTTATCATCATCGTTGTCAGACCTCTTTGGCAAGTCACAACTTCTCCAGGTCAATCTGTAATTATGTAAAGTAAGAGCAATGAATTATCACATCTCCAAGGTTCTTTCTACCTGTAAAATTATACAGTTCTAGTATTCTGTAGAGCTAAACTATGTACACAAAATTTTCTCATTAAAAAAACCTGAATTTTCACATTTAAGAGTTTTTGCTGTAAGAATTTTTGTAAATAGTAGAGTGTGAACTAAATATCCTTGAGCAGTATTTCCTACTTTCTTTGCAAGGTACCAAAGCTGTCTGTCTAGCCTTCCAATTCAATTTTGCACTTAAAGAATATAGGTTTGATTTTAAAAGCCTTCCCTTTTGGCTGTAGAGAGACAAAATGGTCTGAGGTATTAATCAAGCATTATATTGAGCATCTACTATGAGGCAGGTACTGTGTTGGAGTTATGAAAACAAAAATGAAACAGTTCCTGCCTTCATGGAACAGTTATGTTTGCATAGATGGCCCTATATATTGTATAAGAATACATGGAAAGATTAATTTTGGGGAGATACTAGGAATTGGGGAATCAGGAAAGACCTCATGAAAATAGTGACATTGGAGAAAAGCCTTGAAGAAAACTAGAGATTGAAAAAATTGGAATTAAAATGGAAGTGCCTTCCAGGCAAAGGCAAAGAAACAGGAGAGAGAATAATGTGTAAGGAACACCAAGAAGACCAGTCTAACTAGACTGTAGGGTGGATGAAGAGGAATAATGCTGGGCTGGGAAGGCAGGTTGGGGCCAGGTTATGAAAGACGTTAAATGACAGAGGAGTTTGTATTTGATCCTAGAGGTAATAAGGAGGCCCTGGAGTTTGAATAGCCTTGTGACATAGTTAGACCTGTTATTCCTAAAGGAATAACACCTTGGCAGTAGTATGGTTGATGGATTGGATTGGGGAGAGACCAATTTGGAGGCTGTTGTAATAGTATTGGCAAGAGATGATGAAAAACTGAAGTAGGGTGGTAACTGTAAATGGACAGAAGGGGATGGTTGTGTGAGAGATGTTGGCATGGCAGAGTAATAAGATTTGGAAACTTACTGGAAATTAGGAAGGAAGGAGACTGAAGGATTGAGAATAACTGTGAGGTGGCACACCTGGCTTGTCTAGAATGAGTTCTGTTTTGGACGTATTGAGTGTGAGATTTCCTGGAGAATTTCCAGTTCAAAATGTTCTCCTACAGGTAGTTCATGATGTGGCTGTGAAGGTTAGGATAGTAATAGTAAGAATCATGTTTGGGTGCATAGTACCCGAACTACAAACATACTGTACACAAAATAACCAAAAAAACCCCCCAAAACCCTATAAACAAACCATACTACAAACTCATGTTTGTAGCACAGAGGCATATTTGCTTAGAAGGAGTTCAGTAAAAATATTTCTTTAATTTGTAATATGGTAAGTGTTTTTACATAAAATTTCCATATCATCATATGTCAAGTGCCAGAGCTCAGTTCTTAAAGGCTTTTGTATAAAAGGATAATTTTCTTTGTCCATTTTTAATACTTAATTTTGAAATTTTCCTTTCATCCTTGACCTTTAAAATATCAGTTTTACAAATTTTGTTTTTAAAGTTCATTCTAAACATAGTGTGTTAACCATCAAGAAAAGTAAATTCAAATATCTAAGGAATAAAAGTTTTTTACTCATATGTTTGTTAACTTTGGCAGGAAGATAACAAAAACTGCTGTTGTGCTCCATTCTGAACTTTTTCTTTCTTGTAATTCTGGATTTAGTTGCTTTTAGTATTTTAATTATTTATATAGTTGTAGTTAGCATAGCTATTGTTCTGATTTTGCTTTTTTTCATGCTGTATTAGTTTTCTGGATGTGGAGAGAGTAGATCCTAAATATTGTGATGTTTTGGATTTTTTTACATGAAACAGGACATATATTTTCTAGAAATTGAACTGAATTCATTTCTTAAAGTATTGTTATGCTATAACAGTTAGGGGTAGGCAGTTTTTGCAGAACTGACTGGCATTTATTGTACAAGGGCAAGATTGTTTTTTCAGAATGTGCTTATTTTATTTTGTCTGTTTCTACCTCTCGAGCTAAGGATATAACAATATCAGATACTGTAACGCCTAATATTATGTTAAATCAAATAACTTCTGTGATTCAATGAAATATTACTTCTTGAATATACTGTTTCAGTTAAGTGATTTCTTATTTTTAGGTCCTGAACGTAGAAGTGTAGAAATTGATAATAAAAACAAAACCATCACTGCATATCATGAATCCGGCCATGCTATTATTGCATATTACACTAAAGATGCTATGCCAATCAACAAAGCTACAATCATGCCAAGAGGACCAACACTTGGACATGTGAGGCTTTAGAAACTTTTTCTTTGTTGATTTTCAAGATAAAGATTTCTGTAGCATCACTAGTAAACCCTCTGATTAGTAATAAAGTTATATATGCTGTCTGTTGAAATGTAGTGTGTTCTCATGGGGAGAAAATGGTTACATATTTAGTTGAAACTATTTTTGAAATTTTCTTTCTGAACTTCCTTGAAGATGTCCCAAAGACTCTTCTGAAGAGTATTTTTCGTGATGAGTGTTTTTTGCTATTTAGATACAGATTCAGAATCTACCCTATCTTTAATTCTTGAATAACTTATATTTCTTGAAAAATCACAAAAGCAAAAACTGTGAATCACAAGTCACCAATTCAGTATTTTTCTCAATTGTTCCTGGTTTAGGATCATCATGTAGCACAAGTGCCCTTCTAATATTAATTTCCACTTAGCTGTAGAAATTTTAATATCAATTCATCTTTGATGACAGCATAGATCCTCTCACAGTATTATACAGCCTGGGTATAGTTAGCCTGCTAGGTGTTGCAGATAGAGTGCTGGACTTGGAGGCAGGAACAGCTGTGTTCAGGTGCTTCCTTGGACACAAGTGACTCTGGGCCAGTCACTGAACTTTAACATCTCAGTTTCTTCATCTGTAAAATGGGAATAATAGTAGCATCTGCCTTATAGCATTGCTGTGAAGATTAAATGTGATTACATTTGTAAAGCATTTTGCAAACCTTAATAGGTTATATATAACTAGTCATCATCATCATCATTACTGTTGTTATCATCCTCATTCATTCTGGTTCTGAAGCTGAAATAATTTTCATTTTGTGCTGCTGCTTTTCTAATTAATTGGTTCAGAGCATAATGCTCGGTGGTGAGCTGAACACTGATTTTTTTGAGAACTGTGATCTGACTTTTTCCTTCTGCTGTAATTTGAATGTTTCCCAAATTTTGTAGGTGTCGCTTCTACCTGAGAATGATAGATGGAATGAAACTAGGTCCCAGCTGCTTGCACAAATGGATGTTAGTATGGGAGGAAGAGTTGCAGAGGAGCTTATATTTGGAACTGACCATATTACAACAGGTTGACTGCAAAGAATTGCTGTGGTTCAAAGATTGGTTTACTAATATAATAGCTTTTAAAAATACTGATATACTTATTTTTAATACTAGGTGCTTCTAGTGACTTTGATAATGCCACCAAAATAGCAAAGCGAATGGTGACTCGATTTGGAATGAGTGAAAAGGTAAGAGCTCTTTTTTATCGCGTTTCCTTTTTTTCCTCTTTTCCTTTTGAGAGGTAGGTACCTCATTTCAGTATTTTTCTCATAGTTGGTAAATATGTATGAAAAGTTTCCCATTGTTTGGTCAAGTGGTGAAACAAAGAAGATTAGCATTTTCCCCTACTTAATCTATTTAAAAGTCCTGCACTTTGTAAGAAAAAGGTGTATTTAGTAAATTTTGTTTTCTGTCCCATATGTATTTACATTTTATTACATCAATTCTTAGGTGCCTCTAGGAGAAAATTTTGAAGCATATAGCAACGTAACCAGTAGTTAGACTGTGCTAGGATTTGAGCCTTCCACAAATGGAATGAAAGTAACGACTTTCAGTAGAATGTGGCTTTCTGTCTTGTTCCATTCCACTATGTTGTCACAGTTGCTCTGTGTAGTACACACTTATCTCTTGTACTGTATTTCTTGTTTGGGAGAAATGTGAAAGAAATTACAGGATTGTAGGATTCAGAGCTGGGACAGAAGAGATCATGTAGTCTAGTGGTTCTTGATGATAGTCCAGAATTAAGAGTCCAAAATTAAACTCTTTAATGGCATTTTGAGCAATAGGTAACTTTTAAAAATATTACAAGTAGTATAAATTAAATTACTCTTTAGTGTTTTTAACACATTTAAAAAAAAGAAATTCACATTGGGACTACTACTTACCTAATTCAGTGTGCTCATTTTGCAGATTAGGAAACTGAAGACCAGTGAAGTTAATTGATTGCCTCAGTGTCATATAAATGGTTAAAAGCACAGCCCAGATTTTAATCCATTTGCTCCGATTTCAAATCTAGTGTTCTTTTCACCATAAAGCCCTCTGGTATTCATGTTCAGTAGTGTCATACATATTTAACTTAGGGAAATTCAACCCTAAATACTTGGCAAAAAAAGGAGGAGAAATAATAACTTAGAGAAACTAAGCTGGACCTCTGCATTAAAAAAGAGATTAAAAAAGTCATGAAAAAAGTCAATGAGATACATAATTATTCAAAAGAGGCTGGTCATGCATCTCTGCATGACTTTCCACTCAGTGTGAAAATACCCCGAGTGTAAAATGGGAGGCATAAACCTGTTGTTTTTCTCAGTTGGTTTCCATTCCCAGTGCCTTTCCCTATAGTGAATGTGTTTCTAGAATCTGTTTTTCATTATTCTTATAGACAGTCTTTATTCATCCTTCTTAGACTGGTAGAACTAAGGAGAGAGACAACTTTGGTTGGCCTTTCTTCCGTCCTTAGTCAGCTAGACTTGTTCCTGCCGTGTTCCCTTTGACATTCTTAAGTCCTGTCTTGCCTCACGGTGAGACAGGAAGAAGGAACAATTATGTGGTATGATCAATCACCTTGTGATATCATAATTATATAGGAAACTCTTTTGAGAACATTTTTTCCCCTAACCATTTTGTACTTGTTTGTTTTTTTCTATTTGAGTAGAACTTAGTTTTGTCAAGTTGTCTGATCAATAGCTTGTCTGTGTATATTAAAAAATAAAATGTATACCTAGTTGTTTATATAGCAACTGTTTCATGTCATCTGTTATTTTTATCTTAAAGATAATAACAGGTAATGAATTTTTCAAGGGTAGTTTTGACTTTATGGAATTTTTGCCTCTTGTTGATTTTAGTACATGACCTATCAGTATTTATGTTTTTTCCATGAAAATTGTGTTTCCTTTTAAGTGGTGGGGGATAGATACTGTCTCCAAGTATATTGGATACTTAGAGACTTTTACATTTTTTGATCAACTTTTTTCTTCCATTTGGCTTTAGCTTGGAGTCATGACATATACTGATACAGGGAAATTGAGTCCAGAAACGCAGTCTGCTATTGAACAAGAAATAAGAATACTTTTAAGGGTAAGACTGTTCTTTTTCTACTTTTATTTATGTAGTATGAAGGCATAGGGTTCATTAGAAACATCTATTTAATAAAAGATAGTAGATGTCTTCTCATCTTGTGCTTTTCTTGCTGTGTTCTTCCAGTAATCCTCAGTGAGAATCAACCCAAATTCTAGAGGCCTTTCTGTCTTTTCACATTTCTTGAGTATCACCGGTAGTGTTCTTCATCTCTTCTCTCACTTTCACAAAACTGATACTCTATCTCTTTTTCCAATCATACGTGTCCTCACTGATAACTCTTATACAATATCTTTTGGATAGGTCATATTTGGAAATATGCCACAACTCAACTTGCATGTGGCCATTAAGTGTTTCTCTGTTTGGTTCACTTGTAAATTTGATTCTTCAGTGACTGTGGTGTTCAAGGATTTGCAGTTACATGACATCTGTGAGAGAACATTTGTGTTTTTTTTTTTAAAAAAAAAAAAGATGGATTTATATGTTGAAAAACAGCTTGGAATTGTTAGAAGCATTCTTCAGTTTCCAAATGCCCTCCAGCCCATGTCCATTTATAGTGTTTGTCCCGAATAGGTATACTAATTTGATGAAGTGGACATCCAATTACATATTATTGTCTTAAGAATGGATGTCTTAGTTTTTTTCTTCATTGATTGTGACACCGGCCTCTTTTTAATAATTATGTATCTCGTTAAGAGCATCCTGTAACATTCTGGGACTTGATTGAACCAGTGCAATAGCGTCTGTGAAAGGGGGCATCTGGAATACTTCACCATTTTTAGGGAGTCCCTCTTCCATTTGGATCTTGCTCTACCACAGTTGTTAGCTTTTGTCTCTTTTTTAATGACTTGCTTATTTATTCAGAGTCACTGAGTGGTTATTTCTATAATTGCATTTACCAAGAAAACTTGTATGATTTTAACACCTGAAAGACTTCTTGGAGGAGAACCTTTAAGAGTATACCCTGCTTTGCTGAGTCAAATGCTTTCTTCTTTTTGTTATTTATTACTTATTTGTTTTTAACATTAATTTTAAAAAATGTTGATTTCCAAATTCTCTCACTCCCTCCAGCCCCTCCCCTACCCAGTGTAAAAAAAATACATTCATATACTATAATTTGTTCAGCCCTAGTGGTCTAAGAAGAAATTTAAGATACCCTTTTAGATTCTAGTTATTTTTTCCTCTATCCCTTTTAATTTCCCCTTTATGATCAGAAAGTTTTGTTTATTACTATTTCCTCCCTGGTATCATCCTCTCTCTCTTAATTTCCTTTCTCTATCCTCTGCTGAGTTTGATGTGTTTTTACACCAAGCTCTGTGTGTGTGTGTGTGTGTGTGTGTGTGTGTGTATGTGTGTGTGTGTGAGTGTGAGTGTGAGAGAGAGAAAGAGAAAATAATATCGGCACTATGTAGTCTGTAACTTCTCTTAATCCAAGAAAGGCTTGGACTAAAGTCCTGCCTCAAACACTTAACTAGCTGTATGACCCTGAGCAAGTCACCTAACTGTTGTTTGCCTCAGTTTTCTCATCTGTAAAATGGGGATAATAAAAACACCTACCTCCCAGGGTTGTTGTGAGGATCAGATGAGATAATATTTGTAAAATGCTTAGTACAGTGCCTGGAAGTGCTATGTAAGTGCTAGTTATTATTAAATCAAATAAATTATTTTTAAAATAGCGAACAATTAATGCAATGAGATTTTTATTCTCTGCCTTTCCTTTAATCGCATCACTGTATAAGTATGGTCTCTTGTAGAATATTGTTTATGGAAACCTCTTCCTACTCCCTTCTCATATCTTCATTACATACACTTGATGCATGTGTAGATTATTCTCATAAAGTTTATATGGAAGAGAAAGTAGTGCAGGGTGTGGTGGCTTACATCTGTGAATCCCTGCTATCAGGAACAGTGAGGCTAATGAACTGCTTGGGCTCCTGAGTTCAGAGTTGCAGTGTTTTAAAGCTGATAGCATGTACCAATCTGGGTAACCATTTGTGAGGGGGAAGGTTGGTGTGGACCCAGCTGCTTAAGGAAGGACAAATATGCCAAGATTGGAAAAAGAGGAGGTCAAAGCTCCCATACTGATTAGTAGTGGAATGTTGTCCATCAATGGCTACTGTACTTGAGTCTAGGCAAGATAGCGAGACCCAATCTTTACAAAGTTGCATAGGTTGGTAGTCTTGTGGTTGCTTTCTGATGGCAAGGGGTAACAAAATCTAATTTTTCCCCAGTGCCATTGCTATTTCCCCTTGTCATTTACTTGTAGAATGTCCCGTGCCTTCAAAATTGTGTCACTTCCAGCAAGATCATCCTTTGTGTTCACCTCGTCCAGCTGTTTTTTCCGTCTTAGGTTTTCTTCAGTGATAGTACCACTTTTTCTGGTAGCAAATCTGGGTCATTGAGTTCAGATGTGGTGGCTTCATTTTCCTTGATGGTGAAAAGAATTTATTAAAAAAATCTTTACAGATTTTTTTTATTGTCATCTATTTGTTGTCCTTTTTTGAGTTTTGTCCTTTAAATGTCCTTAGAATGATTTTCACCAAGCTTTCTTTAAGCATGGTCTTTCTTTTCATTCTTACTGTTTTGTGAGGTGATACAGCTCCTGCTCTTCCACTCACCTGCCTTCTGATGGTTTATTAAAATAAGTTTTATTGATACATTCTGTTTTTGTCACAATTTCTAGATATTGTGCCTACCCTTTTAACAAAGACAATAGTTAAGTAAAACCAACTGATCTAGTGATTCTCTCTGGCAGTATATGTGATATTCCACATCTTTTATTCCCACTTCTGCCAAAAGGAGAAAGGTGCTACCTTATTTGTTTTCCAGAACCAAGAGCGATCGTTATAATTACTCAGCATTCAGCTTCATTTACACATTCTTCTTTTTTTTTTTTTAAGCATTGTTATAGTCACTGTGTATATTGCTGACCTGGTTTTGTATACTTCACTCCACATCATTTCATTTAAATCTTCTCATGTTTTTCTGAATTTCTTGTATTCATCATTTCTTACATTGTGATAATGTTCCATTTTGTTCACATAGCAGTTAGTTCATCATTTCCCAACCGACGGTTCCTTGCTTTCTTTCCAGCTTTTTGCTACCACAAAAAGTGTTCTTGCTGTAAATATTTTGCTATGTATGAGACCTTTATTTATGTCTTTGACCTTCTTGGGATATATGCCCAATAATGAGATCTCTAGGTCAAAAGGTATAAATAGTTTAGTGACCTTTCTCATATAATTCAAATTTGTTTTCCAGAATTATTGGATGATTTCACAGTTCTTGCAAGTATATGTGTTTACCTTTCTTCCAATCTTCCTCATAATTTTTGCAAATGAGTATATTCTAAAGAGGTGTTTTTCTTGGCTGCCATATTTTACTGCTTGACCAGGGAAATCAAGTGTTTGCCGATTGAGATGGTGTCTCCAGGCTGTTTTGAAGGTCTTATTATGGCAATTGATTTACAATGGTTAAATTGCTTTAATAAATTGGCATAATTGGTGATTGTGTCCATTCTTCTGTTTCCCCCTTTTAGCATCATTTTTTTATGTGGCTCACTTAGTTTAAATTTCTTGCCATATCTTTACATTTTCTACTTTTATATTAACTTTTTGTTCTAACAAGTTAGTAATCTGACTATATAGAGATAGGTGATTTGGAAATAATTCTCGCATCATTTTCTAGCTGAGAAGATATAATAAATTTCTTTTTGTTATTTTGTGCTCACCGTTTTCAGCACCTTTGGTTCTCTTGCTTGTTACTCCTCAGTTAGATCGTCTGACATGTTTTTCACTATCCTTTTTTAGTGCTCAATTTTACATTAAGTGTGAAAATGTGTTGATGTAATTTGGAAGGTATTATCAAGTTCTTTATAGAATTTTTCTATCTTCTCCTTTGCACCAGAGATGTGTACATTACCTGCAGTTATTTTTCTGGTAGTATTTTTTGCCTACTTATTTATGAGTACTACAACAGAGGAGCAGATAATCTAAGAAATGGTGTTTCTTGTTGCCTTTTAATGCACAGCAGAACTACTCCACTAACACTTTTATTTGACTCTCAAAGAATAACGAATCATGCTTCCATTTAGTAGCAACTTCCTCTTGTCTTCTGGTTTTGTGTGTGTGTCTGTGTGTAAAGACTGATTTTTAGTTTTTAGTGTATCAGTAAATAAATTAATGTTTATAAATAGCTCTGTGCTTCTTAGCATGTTCAGCTCCCATTTATGCCAGTGGGAAGCAGTTTTTATTTGTCACTTTGTTGTAAAGGTTGTAATAGTCAAAGACTTAATTACTAAGTATTTAACTTATAGTTAATGAGCTCCTCAGTACTTAGCTGGGTTGCTTCTTGTGAGGCAGATGTAATTTGTTGCTGATACGCTACTCAAAGCCCTTACAATTCTGAAAAGCTTGGGTTTTGCAGGTATAGTCTTGAGAATCCATAATCCCCTCCTGACCGTGGTGAAATGTTGGGACTAGGATTTTATGGAACATAAAATTCTCATTTTACAAATTCTTTTCCTTTTTAATTTCCACAATAATAAATTTTTTGAGGTTTTGTGTTTTATCTTTGCATTTCAGGACTCATATGAACGAGCAAAAAACATCTTGAAAACACATGCAAAAGAACATAAGAATCTGGCTGAAGCTTTATTGACTTATGAGACTTTGGATGCCAAAGAAATTCAAATTGTTCTTGAAGGGAAGAAACTGGAAGTGAGATGATAAAGCCCTTCTTATGGATTCATACCTGGTTTTATTTGCGAGAATGTAAATCTAGCAGTGCAGTAGTCTCCTTATGCAACAGCTTTTTTTTTTTCCTTCCTGATGCGTGCTGTAATGTATTAATGATGTTTTCAAGGTTATAATATACTTTATTGTGAGCCTTTTGTTACCTTTATCTAATTTCGGTTATTCTCAGTGACACCTAGAACAAATTAGCTTTCCATAGCAAATATCATTATAGAAAATAAAGAACTATCAGGATTGAATACAGCTTATTTGAGAGACTTCAGTCAGACCGTAAGTTGGAAATAATGCTGCAGCATACTTTTCAAGGCTAGCTATGCTGCTAGATGTAGAGGGAAAATGATGCTCATGTGGAGTATTTTGAGCTTGATGATGTAAGTTGTTGAAGGATCATCTTTGTAACTTAATATTATCAATGGTTTTTGGCACGGAAATGATGTTATCTAGTTGTAAACCCTGTATTTGCCAGTTTCAAAGGGAGAACTCATAATAAAATCCTAGTTTTATTCTACAGTTACAATAAATGGGTTTTTTAAATTTGAAAATTAGGGAATTTGTGGGCATAGAGACAAATGCAAAAATATGAAACATATCCTTTATGTTTTCTGTATTCTGCATATCTCTTTGTATCACCAAGGTTTATTACCATTATGGGGGAAATTGTCTCATCCTTGGAATTTTGTTATAAACAGAAAAACAAATAACCCCCCCCCCTCAAAAAATCTTTATCCTTGTGTAATTATGCTAGTAAGCAAAGAAACCCAAACATTTGGTTTTGAAGGATCCATTAACAGTACATGTTGGCCTTTGTCAGAAATTGGAAGTTTATATTTGGGTCAGAATTTGGCTTACTGAAAACAATCACTTGTTCTCTGCAAAGATTCTTGAATACATTTTATTTAAGCCAGTAGAGAAATATTGTTTCAGAGCATTGTTGGTATACTGCTACTATAACAAAACCATACCCTTTAAGTGATTTTTATTAGTAATTTATGTGGTTTTTTAAAGAGCTCCATTACATGCATGTTCTTTCTTGTAGAAAGTGAAGATAATTGAACATGTCTCTGTCAAAGATATTCTTGACTGACTTTAAAAAATATCTCATTTCTGTAAGGATTTCAACAAAAGTGTATACTTGGGTTACATAAAATCTCATTTACCATTTCAGTGAAAGGCATTCAAGCTGTCGAAATATCAAAACCTTCATGAACTGATTATGATCAGATAAAAAAATGTTGGTTTCAGCACCATGTTATGTTTCTAGGTTTTTTACATGCATTTTGATGGGATTACTTGGTTATTTCATAACTACGGGTTATGAACATTTCTAACTATAAGTGTAGAAGATCTTAAATATTGATATACTTTAAAAATAGTTTATACCAGTGAAAATGACAATTAAAGATCTGAATAAGCACCTCACAAAGATGGAATAAGGATCATCTTTTTCTACAAGAAATTTTTCTTTTTTATATTTATGCCACTGAGCCCCATTTTTTAGCCAAGAATATGGTTTCCTTTTCCTTTCAGAACAAATACTTAGTACAGCTTTATACATGGTTTCCTGTGTTTTCCAAATAGTCTCAAGAATCTTGGTCTGGAACATTATCACAAGTGAGAAGCTAGCCTGTTAGAGTTATATGTATTGTGGTAACCGTGCTTTAGGGAAAAGAACCTCAAAAAATATGCTTTGTCTCTGTTTCTGAAACAATAAAAATTTTAATTAGATGTCTTGTCTTTTTTTTCTTCAAGAAATCTTATAAATATGATTTAGAAGCTTTTAACTTAAAATTCTTTAAATTATATATGCAATAAAAGCAAAATTTGTAATTGTAGACAAGTGAATGAGCATTAGGAGCTTTGCTTCTCCTTTCATGTGGAGAAATACAAACTTGTTTCAGGCTGGCTGTGGAGAACAATCGCCACTCTACTCCAGTCTGCAGTGCATTTGTCTTCTCATGCCTTATACGTTTGACTATAAATAATCAGAATGCTTTTTTAGTGCTCTTCTTTCATTTCCCTGTAGTTACATCTTATTTTTTTAAGTTGAGCCTTAATTTCTCCACCTCCATAGTCTTCTGTGTCTTTTGTCATCTCATCTGAGACATACTAAAAGAGGCTAGACACTTTATTATTTTCTAGATTTTGCTAATTAGTATATGATAGCTTGCATTTATATAACTCTTCATGTCTGTTCTCGTTTGATTTTCACCAAGAGGCTTGTGAACTGTTAGCATAATCAGTATCCTCCCCATTTTACGTATGTGAAATTGAGGCTCAGAGAGGTTGTGACCCATGCTCATATAAAAACTGTAACTGGGTACATGGTTTCTAAGTCCCTTACTTTTTCAGTCATTTCATGAATTTACTGCCGAAGTTCTGTCAAGCTACCATTCTCGTCTTCACTGAAAATGCTATCTTATTGTTACCCAGAGATTCTAATCTTTATTTTTGAAAGAGGTTAGCAAAAGAGCACCATCCATATCAAACAGGAGCAAGTATTGCCCATCTGTTAGAAATGTGAAAAGAGAAAAGTATTGGGTCAAGTGTGTTAGGAAGCCCCTCCAAAATAAGGTTCTTGAGAAGAAAAAAAAAATGTGTGTGTGTGTATATCTATATCTATATATATATATCAGCTGAAAATGACATATAAAACTTAAAATATTTTGTCCTGTGCAGTGGATAATGGCAGGCTTGAAGGCAGGAAGACTCATCTTCTGAAGGTCAGATTTGGCCTCAGATACTTAGTAGCTTTGTGACCCTGGCCAAGTCATTTAACCCTATTTGTCTCAGTTTCCTCATCTGTAAAATGAACTGGAGAAGGAAATGGCAAACCACCCTAGCATCTTTGACAAGAAAACCTCAAAATGGGGTCACAGAGATTCAGACACGACTGAAATGACTTAACAACGATAATTATGTAATTATAAAAATTGTGGATTCCACAAAATTACCATATAAAATAACTTTCAAATTTATTTGTATCATTGCTACTCTGTTACTGTTATTCTCTTTTTGAGCTTCCCACAATATTCATGATTATATGTAGCTTTGGGTTTTGTGCAAAGTCAAATTTGGAGGAAAAATTCAGACCATTGTGTTAATAATGTACTCAAGACTACAGATCTGTTAACGCTGATGAAATAGTTAACATTTCTGTTTTTTACATAGGGAACTTAAGCTCCTAAAAATGAATTTACCCCATAAATTTTGCATGAAGAAGTTGGAATAACCTGTTGTATTTGCTACTAGGAAAGAATCTAGTTAAAAGTTCTTGATCATTTTTTGACCAGTGGTATCTGGTGGTCTTGTTTTTAAACTTGATAGTGTTTAGACTTATGTTTTATATAATGCCAGTCTTTTGAGATAGACATGGCTGCACGTTCAGTGAAGGGAAGAGTATGAGATCTTCACACTAGGCCAACTGAACTTGACTAATAGGTGACAAAATTCTAGAGCTCTTTATAGATAATAATTAGTAAACATTTAGAAAAGGAAACTGGCTTCAGAGCCAGTTCAGAGCTTCAAGAATGTTAACAACTTCCATTTCCTTTCTTGGCTAGACTTTTTTGTTTTGTTTTGTTTTGTTTTTTGCTAGGTAATGGAGTTAGATGACTTGCCCAGGGTCACACAGCTTAGTAAGTGTCACGTGTATGAGGGCAAATTTGAACTCGGGTCCTCCTGACTCCAAGGTTGGTGCTCTGTCCACTGTGCCACCTAGCTGCCCCTAGACTTTTTTACTAGACTGGTATGTCAGGGGAGTCCTATGCACAGTTTCTGCACATACCTTATTTTGTTGATTAATGTTCTCCATAGAAACTCACTAAATAATTTTATGAAATAGGTCATGGGAAAAAATTTAAAATCATGACACATGGAAGAAGATCAAAAATTTTTTAAAAATCGGTCTAATCATTCCATTCATGTAGAGAACTCCCAGTGAAGAAATTATCTGCTGAAGTGGGTCAGCAGCTACTCTACAACTTAAGTCTTGTACTCAGGGCCAGAAAGAATAGATAGCATATAAAGATAATTTAAAAAGACTTATTAGTGTAATTTCATTTTAGTAAACAGTCATTTTTAAAGAATTCAAAGATGCTAAATGTATTTTAAATAATAGAGACAGATAGATGTATGGTGCAGGTATTAATCTTGCTATGTTTTATCATTCTCTGATATTTAGGAGATAAAGACTAATGCCTGGTGTTTTTAAAGTTCAGCAAAATACGTGCTGGGTTTAGTACTAGAAATATAATTTAAGATTTCCTCTCCCAAACAACTAAGTTAACAGCCTGCACTCTATCCCTTACCTTAAAAATGCATTTCAGGGCAGCTATTAGTTCATCAGTACATTTATTATGATGCTATTGCCACTGATGGTTAAGTGTCAAAGAGGAATTGTGGGAAGATGGCAGAATAAGGCTGGAAACTACCCGACTGTCCCTAATTCCACACAAATAAAATAATGCTTCAAAGTGAATTTTAGAGTGGCAGAAATAAAAAGTCAGGGTAAAGCAGTAGTCCAGTCCACGACAGCTTGGGAGTATTTAGGAAAGCTCTGACCTCTCCGGGTGGTGGAGTGGCCTGACTGAAGTGCAGATACCTTCACAGACATCTCAGAGTCAACAAAACAGCAAGGCCCGGGGGCAGCCTTTCTTCAGGGGCATTAGCCCCACTGTGGTTGTGGGGGTTGAGCACCTGATCAGGGGAAGATTGGGGGGCCCCTGGCTGGCCTGAGAGGAAGAGCAAGCACGTGCTGGTGAGTGTGGTCGCAGAGGGGCGGGCACTTGTGGGAGAGGGGAGACCCTGGTTTTGGTTCCAGGGCAGAGGTGGGTGAGCTGATGGGAGGAAGCAGGAGTGTTTTCTATGGCAGCGGTGCTGGGGGCCCTGGTCTTAGCTCACGGGTGGATATGAGTACCTGAGGTCACTTACAGACCAAAACGTGCCAGAGGAACAGTGACCACATCTGGTCATCTTGGCTTATAGAACATTGGAAGAAGCAAGAGGTCAAAGGCCCACCACTTCTCATGCCATTTTTAGGGAAGAGACAAAAAGATGTAAGGCTAGGTGTATATTGAGCTGGTTGAATGGTTAGTGCTACTGCATAGTGGTGTGATTCAGTCAAACTGAAATGGAGCCTCTGGAAGAATCCATGGGGCATTGCTGTTTAAAATTTTTATCAGTAACAAAAATATGTATAGAGAGAGCATGCTTATCACATTCGAAAGTGAGAGAAAGGGGCAGCTAGGTGGCGCCGGTGGATAGAGCACCGGCCCTGGAGTCAGGAGGACCACGGTTCAAATCAGGCCTCAGACACATAACACTAGCTGTGTGACCCTGGGCAAGACCCTACACCCCTCGTCCAGCACCAGCCAAGGGCCCTCACAATCTTCCCCTGATCAGGTGCCCCCATTGCCTAACCAAAAAAAAAAAAGAAGTGGGAGAAAGCTGAGGGATAAGTAGCACTGAGTGTGTGACAAGATTCCAAAAGGGCTCAGCAGGTTAGAATATTATGCAAAGTATAATAAAGTGAAATTATATGGAGATAAATTTATTGCACTTGGGTTCATAAAATAAACTTCACAAGTATAAGTCTGGAAAAGTGTAGCTTGGTAGCAGTTTGATAAAGATCTAAGGATTTTAGTGCACTGCAAGCTGATTGTTAGTATAATATGGCAGCCAAGAAGGCTAATATGAACTTAGGCTGTGTACAGAGAAGCATACATCCCACGCCTGGAGTATCAAGTTCTAGGTGCCATGTTTTAGGAGGAACATTGCTAAGCTAAAATATGTTCAGAAAAGGGCACTTGGGAGGGTGAAGGACTTTGAGATCATGTCATATGGGAATTGGTTGAAGGAAGTGGTCTAGAGAAGACCAGATCCAAAGGGGAAGCCACAGCTACATTCAAGTACCTGAAGGATTTTAGAAGAGGATTAGACTAAATTCTGCTTGTCCCTTAGAGGCATAACTAAGAATGAGTTACAAGCGCAAAGAGGTGGATTTAGCTAAGCTTGATGTAAGTAAGGAAAAGGTTCCTGACAATTGGAGCTACCCAAAACGAAATGGGCTCTAAGTTCCTTCCTATTCTGTGATTTGGTAAATTTACTTTTCTATTGGGTTTGTAATTTTATTCAGAGTTCCATGGATGTTCTTCACGCTGTTCCTGCTGCTTACTGTACTTTAAATATAAAATACCAACACTATGTGGTCAGTAGCTTCCCTTTAGTTCTGGACCTGGAGTCAGGAAGACCTGAGGTCAAATTGTATCGCAGACACTTATTAGCTGTATGATCCTAGGCAAGTCACTTACTCTCTGTTTGCCTCAGTTTCCTCATCTGTAAAATGGGGATAATAACAGCCCCTACCTCCCAAGGTTGTCATGAGGATCAAATGAGATAATAGTTGTAAAGCCCACAGCACAATACCTGGTACCCGATTAGCTATTATTTGCTGGGCATTGTGCTAGATTCTGAGTATGCAAATATAAGTAAGATTGACGCTGCTTCAAAGAGCACACCTTTTGATGGAGGAAGATACCACATTCAATGAAAGCAGGATGGGAGGAGGCAGCATTGTGTGGGATGGACAGAAAGTCCTAGCGAGATAAGGTTTGAAAGCTCACCCTCCAGAGCTGGCATCCCAAGACAGATGGGGCATTTGGCTGGAGTCGTGGCGGCATGCCATGCAAATGACCTGATTCCAAGCAAGATAAAGTAATAGCTCACCC